TCCTAATAAATGTGATAAATTTGGCTTTGTTGTTGCTCTTGTTCTTTCCCTTCATACTACTTATAAAGTGGAGAGGAAATCTGAAACAACAATAATTTTGTTTTTATGGTTATTAATATTTCTTGAGTGTGGTGTACTAGGCATTTTCTAAGCAGTTTTTCATTGAAGCCTTTAGCAGTTCAGTGGTAAGAGGTAATAATATTAACCCTATTTTTCGAACTTACAGTAAACTTCATGAGGCCATAGCTGGTAAGCAGAAAAAGATGACTAACCTTCATGTATTTAATCCCAGAACCCAAGCTTTTAACCACTATGCTAAATCTTTTCAGTGCCATTTCTGTATACCTGTATTTCTTAGATTCAACCATTGGGCCAAAATAGAGTTAATGGAGATGTTATAAAGCTAATCCTATTTTTTTTTTTTTCAGGATAAGGGAGACTTCAATCCCTCCTCTTCCCAAGCAAGAAATGTTCTTTTGTTAGTTATTGCTTTTTCTTCCCTTTTCTCTCTATCAAGGAAGCTCAGTTTATCACGGGTCACGTGGCTGCAAACAAATTAATGGCAATTGATGTCCGTCCTCTGCTGTCCTATCAGCAGCTGGGTGTGAGCATCCACGCCCCCTGGTGGGCCTGCCCCTCTCCATCACTCCCCCCACCCCCCCAGCCATAGGCTGAGGTTTTGCCTTAGCCAGTGAACTTTTAATCACTCCCAATCGCTAATCACCGTAATTCCTCACTGTGCAAAGCTACAAGTTCATCATGCGAATGGACCCTGTGTCCCTGTTAATCACAGTAATCGCTCACCACTCATGAGCTGTGAAAAGTAGCGATGAGTCTCCTTTCATCACTCTGGCTTGCTCTTCATCTGAGAGAGGCCGGTAGGAGGATCATGATTCACCCAATGCAGGCTGTGGCGTGGCAGTGGAAAGCCTGCTAGAATTGCAAGTCTCGAGTCTCTGCTTTTAATTATTGTTTTTCTGAGTTGGCAAATGCTCGCCTCCCCACCCCCGCAGTTGCCCATGCTAAAGCTCCCGTGGCAGGGTTCTCTCCCTGGCCTCTGCTTTCTTGGGGTCAGATGAAATGATCCATCTTGGTTGGTATTCAGGCTCTGCGTGGTTGGCATTCTCCACTGGGCTTACTGGCCCAGGCCATGAACTTTCATTCCAAGGTTAACTAAGGGTATTTGTCTTACGCCGGGATTGTTTTGGTAGCAATAAAGCAGAAACCAATCCATCTGGCTCTTTTTATAGAGGGATTTATTATAAGGAATCAAGGGCGTATCTTTGACCCAGGGCCTAGAAATCTGACTGCTCTTCAAGAGGGGCATACACTGGACTTGAAAAACCACTAGATGTCAAGGCAGTTGTTCTATTAACTGTATTCTCCCTCTTCTGCCACATAGACTGCTCTCTCCTTGTGTGTTGCACTATTTCACTTTTCTATCTTGTTTTGCTTCATTGACCACCTCTCTTAGCTTGATTATGGGATGTAGATCATAAATGACCTTACCCAAAGGGCAGACTCAGTTTACATGTCCTGAGCAGTGCAGCGTTGGCAGCTAACTGAAAGTGCTTTCTGAATTCCACATTTTCGTCTCATCTCATGGTTCTTCAAGTTGTCTTCTATTACCAATTCCATTCTCTATCTCTTCTCCCAGGTTTGCATTATCCAGGTGCTGGAGAATAAAGTACCCAGCATGTGTCAAAACCCTTTCTCTTAGAACAGTTATTTTAAATTACCAAAATAAAATTTCCGTTAAAACTTTTCAAAAAGCTTTAAAAAATTGTCTGAATGGGCCAAAAACCTTAACAGACACCAGAGAGAGAGAGAGAATGAATATGAAAATGAAAAATGAATGAATAAGAGAATCCAGACCCATAAGAGCCTGGAACACTGCAGAAAATTATTTCTTCTACTTAATATCCATTTCTCACCTCACCCTCCTTTTAGAGAACTTTCCCCAATTTTCTTTTGGTTAATTGTCTCTTCTTCATTGTTATAGATTCTTGGTGGAATTGTCAATCAAGTTTCCCTAGTCAAGGGGTCAGCAAGAGTCCCAAAGAAGGCCAGCTGAATTCTCATTTTGGGGACTTCCAACATTTCAGAGTTCAGTGATACCAGGATGAAAAGTTTATTGGAGCTGATTCTTTGTAGTGCTGTCACTAATTGTTGATTAGTTCCTGCTACTTGAAGCCCTGCTTCTTTTTTCCTGTAAGACTGGGTTTTTAGTAATTTCTTTAATTCTTTTAATGATCCTATATCCTCCTAATAAAGCTATTGCTTTAGTTGGCCAGAACCAGTTTTGTCGTTTGCAAACAAAACAAAGAAACACCCTCCAGAGGTACATACTATGTTACAGAAATTCTTGGTTCCATAGAATGTATGTTGCCCTAGCCTATGAACACAGTTTCTCTGTTATTGTGCTGATGAGATGCTGAGAATTTAAGGGCAGGCTACAGTGGCTTATTGCCTTGTTTATTTCAGGTAGAACTGACATACTGTCATAATGAAATTGTAGCCATATACAGTCATGGTTGTATAAACTTTGGTCTGAGTTCTGTAGATAGATCTCCCAGGTAAGGTCTAAGTAGCAACAACTCAAAATCAATCCAACTTTGAATATCCTGGAGCTTGCATCTCACAGCTTGCCGCCTTCTCCCTGTTTTATTAGCAAAGATTTTGAATGATCTGTGGTATGAGGTTTGGGAGGGTATAAAGTAGTAAGAGAGTTTTGAAGTAGTTTGGCACTTGAGGGACACAAACAGGGAAACAACATGGTGAAACATGGTGAAACATAGCTTGGTGAAACAACATGGTCCCCATCATTCGTGGGTGACTTCCCGGCCATATAAGGAAGCCCTGTTCTCTCTCTTCTCTCTCTGCCCCCCTTCCTCCCTTCTCTCCTCCCCCCTCCTCTTTCTCTCTCTCCCTCTTCCCCCTTTTCAGCCTCCAGCCTGCCTCACTTTCTCATGCACATATCTTAGACAACCATTTTATACCCTGTTTACCTCTGTATCTAATACTAAGTAGCATCTCTTTCTCTCGTGTAAAAATTCAAAGACTTCAGAATCAGACAGGATAGAGACTGCATTTCACTTCTGCCACTTTGTAGCTGTGTGACCAAAGGCAAGTTCCTCTCTCAGACTCAGTTTTCTGATCTTCCATATGGAAGGAATAAAAGTGTTCACGTGATGCTTATGAGCAATGCACTTGACGTAGTGGCTAGCTCATGGTGGGTGACTAAGGATTAGCAGCTAGTTTTATTAATGATTAATGTTGTTATTTTTCTATTATTTTCTTCTGAAAAGGAAGAAAATTCCTTCTCACTCATTGTCAGCACTTATTACATTTATCTTTGCCTCAACTCTCTCCCCTCCCCTCCCTTGCCCCACAATAAGGCCACTTATAGGAAACCTAAGCTATGGAAAGTCATTCCTAGGAGAATTTTAGAAACAAGGGGGAAATACGAACCTCTAGGAGAGTCTTGGGTGGATTTCCCTTTACACTTGTGAAATATAATTTTAGATTATTGTAGTAATACCTTTCATGGAATGTTTCCTTTTTCTAAGTCTCACTTCTTGATCTTTTGAGAATTCAGATAAATTTCTAGATAAAAGTTACAAAGGAAAATATGAGTCCCTAATGGTCCAACTTAGGGTGAAATCTCACTCAGCCTCTTAGGACAAGTTGTAAATATAACAAGATTTTTGAATGTGAGACCACTATGGATAAGACTATCTATGTATTTATTATAACAATAAGAGTTGAAGTTCAAATTTTTTGAAAATACATCATTGAAATTATTATATTAAGTTGAGGGTATTCACATTTTTTGGTGGAGTCTTTTAAAAGAATAGTTGCATTTAAGGGATCTCTCTTCCTTCTCTTAAATGTTTGTTACTATATCTGATAAGTTGGTGTTGGGAAAACTTTTATTCTTTTCAGCCCAAGAATTTGTGAGAAATCCTACTTGTCTAGTCAAGGCAGTCTCAGCTTGGCTGTTTTCCTGGACTCCTGATTCCACTTTAAGATGTGTGTTCTCATTTATAGCCAACATACATGCATATTTCTTACAGAGGCATTAAACTTGGGAGCCTATCAATAGTTCGGACTTGGAAGTACAGTAGGTCTAATGGGAAAACTTTGCTTTGCTGAACCATTAATGCTCAAGCTTTAAGTGTGAAAGCCAACTGTGCCTAATCCACTCCCTGTTGCCACTTCCAGCTGAAGCTTGGAACATGCACAAAGTCAGGAGCTAAGTGGAAGCAGGGATCTAGTGACATAAGAGGCTGAAGAGATTTTCTCTGAGTCAAAATTTTTCTCCAGACTGTTGTGGGATTTGACACCGGAGTGTAGCATTTCAATCTCTGTTTAATATGGGGACTTTGAAGGTATCCACATGCTCTGTCTTAGTTCTTTTTCCTTCTTACCATCTGTGACAATGAATTCTATCTGATGGTACCCCAGGCACATTGCCTGATCGCCCTCCTCAAATAATGCTTGATGGTTCAGTTCTCTGGAGTTTGCATTCAGATCTGTTTCGCATCAAAATGCATCGCTCTGGCTTCCATAATCCTCTGTAAGCTTGACTAGAGAGCTTGGTTTGTGTTCTTCTCCCTGGGATATTTTCTGCATGTGTCAGGAGGCGGGGAATGTAACTTATCTTACTTTGAAGATGAGAATTAGGGAAATATTGAGGAGACTGAACCGGCAGAAATAAAACTAAAAGACAAATGATATACAGAAATGGGAAAAATAAATGGAGAAAAGCATATATAAAAGGAAAGTAAAATCTCTTCACTTCTGTGGTTAAGTGTAAGTCAAAATTTTTTTTTTTTAATTTCAACTTGTTTATAAAACACAGACTCATCATAAAGTAGTGAAAATATTCTGAGTAATATAGGAAAAAGTATATACCTCTGTTTCTCTCTCTCCTATCCTATCCTTATTCTACTCACAGGGGTGAGACATGTTAATGTAATGTGTGTTCTTTTACTCACCTGTTGGATTATCTTGGGCAAGCCACTGAATTGTTTTAAGCTTTAGTTTTCATATCTGGAAAGTGGGGATAACACCAGTTACTTGTAGCATTGTTAAAAGGCTTAAAACATGTCATCTGTATAAATGCGGATGGCACAAAATAAGAGCTCAGTGAATATTGGATATTATTATTTTTGCAGGCAGACACAAACCTGTATTTCATAACAAAAATGATGCTACACTATGCATATTGTGATTTCAGTTACTATTTTTAAACCAACAACATGCTGGAAACATTTAAAAATTATTTACATATGCATTATTTTATTTAAATGCATGCATAGGATCACATCATAGTTAATGATTTTTAGGCTTTCTTTCTCTCTTCATACTTTGTCCACCCATGTTGTCTGTCTTGAGAAAATTCACATAAATGCTTAATATGTGTGTGCCTATATTTTCCTTCATACTCATGTAATCATAGACAAACACACACGTGCATGTTCATACAGTTTTGTCATTCATTGCTCTATAAAAATAAGAATATGGTATATAAATAAATATTTTTATAGTATTTTTAAATTATAAAATAACTTTTCCTGAGCCTTTTTTTTTTTTATTTATTAATAGGGGCTGGAAAGCTTAAAATTTGAATTCCCAGCAGACATCTTTGCTGCTGAGGATGGGGGAGGCAAGTGACCCAGTGCTGGTCAACTGTCACCAAGGGAAAATCCGTTGTAAGGGTTTCTAGGCAAGTTCATTCCTAATAAATGTGATAAATTTGGCTTTGTTGTTGTTCTTGTTCTTCTCCCTTCATACTACTTATAAAGTGGAGAGGAAATCTGAAACGACAATACCATTTTTGTATCATGATGAGACAAGTATAGGGACAAAAACCATGTTAGTGGTGACATAATAGAAATATAAGAGGCTGAGTGTCCGATAACATTTTCAGTGCTGAATTAGTGCCACTGAATTAGTGCTGAGCTCTGGATTTCTAAAATAAACCTTTTTTGGTTAAGACATGATCACTGGGTTTTCTCTTCTTTACGGTAACATACATTCTTAACTGCCACCAGACTATTCCATATCTTGTTTTTGCCACCCGGATCTTGTTAAAGTTCTAATTGATTACTTGTCACAGCAGCATATTCTTTCATGGTATGAATGACTATAGTTTTGCCAGCCTGTCTCCAATTGGTAGATAATAAGTTTTTAAGTTTTTATCCAGTGTTTCTTTTGTCTCTTTTTGGGCGGGGGCTACTTCAAACAATATTGTATTAAACACCCTTAAAAATATATCTTTATATAGTGGGACTCTTATTGAACATATTCTCAGGAGTGGAATTGCTGAGTCAGGGGTATAGATAATTTTAATAAATGTTTCCCAGAATGTATCCCAGAAAAGCCAGAAACTATTTACATTTTACCAGGAATGTATAAGAATAACTTTTTCCTTCCCACATGCCCACCAGCAATAGTTACTGTTTTGTTTTTTTTTGCCAGTCTAATGTTTACAAAATCATAACTCATTGTTGGATTAGTTCACAGTTTCCTGACTAGTAGTGATTTTAAGCCTTTTTCTATACTCCGTTGACTATTTAGAATTTTTCTTCTGTGAATCCTATTCATACTCTTACATATTTTTCTCTTGGGAAGTTTTCTTCTTATAAATTTAAGAGAGATTTTAAAAAAATACTATAGGTACTAAATTTCAGTCTTCAGTATTGAAATGTGTTTATAGTGTCTGCTATGGGCTGAATGTTTGTGTCCCCCAAAATTGATATGTTCAAACTGAATCTCCAAGGTGAGGATATTAGAAGATGGTGCCTTTGAGAGGTGATTAAGTCCCATTAAGCATGGAATTAGTATCCTTATAAAGGAGACTCAAGAGAGCTTCTTCACCTCTTCCTTCATGTAATTACACAGTGGAAAGATGGCCGCCTGTGAACTGGGAAGTGGGCCCTGTCCAAACTCCAAACCTGCCGGCACCTTGATCTTGGACTTTCTAGCCTCCAGAACTGTGAGAAATAAATTTATGTCGTTTGTAAGTCCCCTGGTCTATGGCATTCTGTTATTGCAGGCTGAATGGACTGAGACAGTGTATTTGCTATAAATGTTTGAACTTTTATGTGGTTAAATATGGTTTTTAAAAACATATTTTTAAAACCTTATTTTCTAGTCTTGGATAAAGGAATCTGCTTTACCCTGACTGAGATTATCATAAAGTCACCTAATTTTTCTTGTAGGATTTATGTTTTGTTGTTTTTTTTTTTTTTTACCTCCTATGTTAATATCTTTACCTTGTTTTCATCCTGATGAATGGCCAGTTGTACCAACACCATTTTAAAAAATCCTTCCCTCTCTGAAATATCAACTTGTCATACATTACATCCTCATATATTCAGAAATATATTTTTAAATTCCCTACTAATTTTCATTTTTGTGCTTGCTTGTTCCTATGCCAATATCACATATTGATTTTATTTTTGAGGCTTCACAGTATGCTGATAGCTCATGTGACATCCTTTTTCAAAAAAACTTGGATTTTGTCAATTCCTTGTTAATCTCAAGGTAAATTTTTTTATTGCAAAAACTTTATCCAATTAATCAAATCTCCTGGCAAAATTCTAATTTTGAAAGCTTTCTTATTGAAACATATGGTTTGTACTTCTATTTATTTTTCTACTTTTTAATCCTTCAGTAAGACTTGGCTTTATTAAATTTATCCATAGTTCATAATTTTTTAAACCAATATGAAAAGAATATTTTGTCACTTCCTTTTTTAGTGGCTTAGAGCTTGGAGCAAAGCTATTGGTGTTTATTTTTATATCCAGCCACATTACCACACTTAAGAATTAAATCTAGTAACTTAAAAAAAAAATAAACTGTTGGATTTTCTAAAAATGTAGTCATATCAATAGCAAAAATGAATAATTTTTTTCTTTTATTATCTAATGGTTATGACAGTTACTTAACTTTTCTGTCATACTGGCTTTGCAAAAATGTCCAAATTAGCCCTTTGAATCTAATAGTGATAGTAAACATTCCTATTTAGTTTCTAATTATAATCGAAATGGTTTCCATATTTCATCACTTAGGGTATTGAGTAGTAGTAGTTTTTTTTGGTAAGCATTATGGTCAAGTAGTTTCCTTCTGTTCCTATTTTATCAAAAACATTTTTAGCATATATTGTAGTAATGAATTCTCCTCCCTGGTTGTATATTAGAAACACCAGAATAGTTAAAATACATTGATAGCAAGCCTCTTCCTAGATCAATAAAATCAGAGTATGTGGGGATAGAGTTGGTTTATCAGTATTTTAAAGCTCCTTAGGTAATTCTTATGAATATATATATATCTTATATTGAGAACCACTGATTTATTGACTGGCTAGCCTGATTTTCTTCTTTAGTTTTTTTGTAGTGATGTGTTATGTTGCTATAATTCTTGATTTTAAACTTCCTATACATTCATAGAATAAATATTACATAGCCACAAGTGTAAAATTTGTTGAAATATTATCAAATTTTATTTTATAAATATAGTCATAGATATGATTAGTCTTTACTTTTTTTCTTTTTTTACTATGTTTTTGAGATTTTGGTATTGTATGTATGCTGGCATTATATAATAAACTGTGAACCTCCATCTTTGATTTCTTAATGACCTAGAGGAGTTTAAGTAACACTAATGTTATCTTTTCATTAAAGATGGCACTTTTCATGAAGTGAAATCCCTCCCAGTTCTGATTACTCTTTTAATTACCTTCTCAATGTAGTCTGTGACGATTGTCCAAAATTTTTTATTACTTCTTGGGTTAACCATGGTAATTTATATTTGGTTAGGAAATTATCCATTCCCTCTAGGTTTTCACATAGATTGTCATATATTTGCCTATAATATGTTTCTCTTAAAATCCTTTTTAATTTTTAAATATTTTTAAAATTCTATTCTTTTTTTTAGAGACAGGGTCTTACTTTGGTGTAAGGCTGGAGATAGTAATGTGATCGTAGGTCACTAATGTCTCAAGTTTCTGGGCTCAAGAGGTACTCCTGGCTTAGCCTCCCAAGTCCCTGGGATTACAAGCATGAGCAACCACACTTGGCTCTTTATCATGTTTTTTTAATCTCTCCTGTGCTTATGGTTAAAATTTCCTTTTAATTACTAATTATTTATGTATGTGTACATGTATATCTATTATTCCCCCTGAGATTAGTTTATTTTTTCTACAAGTTAATTCTTCTTATTTTCCTCAAGTCCTTTCATCCTTATGAATTTCATCTTTCTAGTTTGTGTTGTTTTATTTTGTAGTTGTTTTTATACTTCCTCAAGGATGAATTCTAGGATCCTTTCTTTTTCATCTTTCTTCTTGAATGATGAAGGCATTAAAGATAAATATTTTCTTCTCAGTAGAGTTTTTAAGTTGCCTTCTAGATTTTAGTGTAAAGGTTCTTTTTTTAGTTTATAAATATTCTTTTCATCTAAGGGTTAGCCAAGAATTTCTCATAATATTATTTATCAAAATATATAGCCTATGAAATATATGGAATTCATTTAATTACATAGTTATTTTAAAGATTTTCTTTGAGGAAAGCACAAATTTTATTTTTTAAAACATTGCATAGGATATAAAAATGTGTGCTTATTTCCCATCATGGGATGTAAGGTACTCCATATGTCTCTTACAGCATCATTACTCATGGTTTACACTTTATGTAGGCATAAGCTATGTATGTTAAATTGCTCGTATTTCAATGTACAGTTTGATGAGTTTTGACAGATATATACCACCCCCTCACCACAGTTGAGACACTGATCATTTTTTTTACTCTCAAAAGTTTCCTTGCTTTGAGATACATACTTCTATTCCCATCCAAAGGTAACCACTGATCCTTTTTCTGTCATAAAATTGTATATAAAAGATATTTTATATAAATGGAGTCATGGGGTATATACTTGTTTCAAATTTGGATACTTTCATGCAGAATAATAAATCCGAGATTCATTCATATTGTTTGTTACCTGTGCGGGTGATTTTTATTGTTGAAGAATGTTCCATTGTATGGAAATAT